TTAAAATTATCAGTATATCCCACCTTTTTTTTTCTTGTAAATTGGGTAACCCATTTTTTAATAAGTAGTCTCTTGTGTATTTTCTATTTTGATATTCGTTTTTGGCTTTCTTCATTTAATACTCTGGTGATGTCATTATTTAAGTATCTGCCAGCTGTTTTCCCTGTCTAGAACGATCTAAACTTTTGTATTTCATTTGCTGCTTTTAAAGTATTTAGCTTATATATAATGTATTAGCTATACTCAACGTTTCCTATACGTTGACCAGTTCACAATCCATATACTGTAGCTGCATTACTCTGCATTCCTACCACCTATGATTCGAGAATCAATCTTTTCTGAGGAATTTGATAATCTTTTGAAAATTCCATTAGCCACATACAGTAAGGTGCTTGGTGCATGACCATTATTGTTTCTGCTTGTTAAAAATCTTTCTGGCAATCCTTTACAAATCTGTCCTCTTGGATCTTATTTCCATATTGATTTAGCTTAGTTCTAAAACCAAATCAAGCACTTATTTGAATGGGTATGTGAACAATGAGTAGAAGATTTTAGAGTTGTTTAATTCTTCAAGACAAATACTACAATACTTTGTTTTTAACAGTGGCAAGCTATGGATTTTAAAGCTTTTTGGTATGGTTCAGAAATATACATTTCTGCTTTCTTGAACAATAAGAACAGCTTTTTTTTTTGTCTTGTAGAGAAGAGTGTTATTTTGGAAAACAAATTTGCAAGACCCTAATTTGTATCTGTTGAATCCTAATGAGGTGTTGGCATCGCTTTTCATTTGAAATTTTTTTAAATAAATGAAGTGAGTTTAACCCTTTGTCCTAATGATTCATAAAAGAAACATATTGTACTCTTGCATTCTCGGAATAAATCCTTACCTTTCAAATGAAATGCACCATCTCTTCACCTGATTTCAATCTGTGCTTTGAATGTTTACCAAGACTCTGCCTTTATGCATTTCCTAAAAAGCACCACCTTATGATTAGAAAAAATTCTGCCTGGTTATTATAGTCAGTTAATCTTTTAAACATGATGCTCTGATATAAAAAAACAAAGTTTGAAGTGGCCCATAGAGAAACGTGGCCAAGTGTCTGCCAGTTTCCAAAGAAAGTAGAAATGGTAGAGACAAATAGGAAATGCAGTTAGACCTTTTCTTCCATTATCCAGAATTGTAGCTGCATCCTACCTTAATTTTTTCTTAAGATTGCCCAGTTATATTATAAAACATAATTGGACTGATAGAAAAGATTACAAGTAATGTGACCTTTAGTTTGATGATCAAAGCCGTAATAGGTACTGCTTTTTATTTAAACATCCCAAATGAAGCAGCCTGGATTTTTAAAGATCTGTTAATTTAAAGAAAAACTGAACCAATTGATTTTTTTTTTTCTTAGAGACTGCAGAAAATGCAGTTTGGAGGATGATCTTTTGTTAGAACTGGTGCATATTCTAATAATTCAGAGACTGAATGTCTGAGCTGCTCTTAATTTAATATAGATTCCACACTTTTGGTACTACACTGCTGCAAGCCATTAATCAAAATGTCTTGCTGCAGATGATGCATACAGTATGTTTTCTCAGAATCTGCAGTGCATTGTTATATTTAAGCCATAAATTAAACTTGTTTTTGCTGTATGTGCTACGTGTGTCTGAATATAAATAGTGTATGTCTTGCCTTTCTATTTATCCACCACTGTCATGGTACTTTGTTTTTAATTAGTGACTCAGAGTTTAAAGCCTCTTGGCCATCTGGTCTTATTTGGGTTAGCAAATGGCCAGACAGAGATGATATGTAGGCCAAAGGCTTACAGGGGTGTCATCAGTTTTAGTGACCTCTTAGCCTTGTTGGATTGGTCTAGATTGCTACGATACCCATTTCTGCCCTGGGAGGGGGACGGTTCACCAAAGAATTTATAAGCTTTCTGCTGGATTGCAGACCAGAAGCTCTGTTCTGGACCATTAAGATCCCATGTGCCAAATGTGCAGATGGTCAGTGTTTCTAGCATATGTTTCTCCTTTACCGTTTTAGTGTGTGACTTGCTTTAGCAAAAGTTCTGCAAAGTTATTGTGCAAGCCAGAAGGAATAGCAGAGTAAATCTAATGATTTCCCAATTAAGGGGGCAGTTAGAAATGTATTTTGGCTGCTCTGCCCCACTAGGGGTGATAGTGCTTTAAATGTGCTGTGTAGTAGAAATTAGACTTAAAATTGCTCTGCCATGATAAGTGTCATTTGAATCTGCAACACATTTGTAGCTTTTCTTTGTAAGCTCTGTCAGACTCCTCTTCAGTGAACAAAACAAAGGGGATTTTTATAGTATTGAGAAATCATAAAATAAGTTCATCACTCCCTGACCTCGCTATTAAAACTTAAGACTAATTCCTCAGTATTACAATGCTAATGATTGAAAAGTGAAGAAAGTGGTGAAGAGTAGTTTTTCCCAAGATCCAAAGTATTTTGCCTTGCAATTGGAGATTTCTCCCTTAAAATCTAGAGGTCCTTGACCAAGCCAGCAAAAAACTCTTCATATTACATTTTAGAACAAGCTTTCCAAGTTGATGACACTTGATTCAATTGATTAGAGGTATAGTTTATGATGAATCCTTTTCTTCCCCTTCTCTTTTGACCTTGAAGTGAATTGTTCACATTAGCATCTAATTATGATGGAACCATCCTCCATCTCTCAGGGAATTCTATACAAGTCAAGCTGCTATGAGGCTGTTTTTGCTTCATGACCTATAATTTTAATGTAATTTACAACAAGTGACTAATCTGACATTGAAGATGACAACTGATTTTTATATATATATATGAGTGTGTGAAAATTTGAAAAGGAGCTAAACTTGAAATATCAAGTTCTTGGGGGGGGATACAAGCATATGATGTCCCATTTTGTTTAATCCCCAGTGATGTGTCCATGATTTTAAAGTAGCAGTTGATTTAAAAATATTCAAAACCGGATGATTCCATGGTTGAAATGCTTATTGTTGACAAAAACTGCAAAGAAACGAAAAATGTAAAATGCAGATCAACAATTGTCAATCTTAATATACCTGTGAAGCCTATAATGTTGGATATTCTATTTGTTTCCATCACAAGCTCAATAAATACTTTTCTACTTTTTGTGGCAACTCATTTGATTTTTTAGTTTAACCCCCATATATAGTAGCTGTACAGTTTTTATATTCTTTACAAAAATGGCATTAACCAAGCAATTTCATAAGTGCTTAGCCTTGCGCTTAAACTTGTAAACATTGTTTCAATTTTTTTTAAATTGTTGGCAAAAAAAGAATGAATTTCTAGCATTCTCTTTGTTGGCTCTATGTACAGTACACGCTTGAAGAAGCAGCAGTTGTTTTGAGGAAAATTGTTGTGCAGTTTCCTTTTTAGATACAGCTGTGCGGGTTAAATATTTTCTCTTTAACAATGCATGTGGTTTTTAGGACCTTAGTACCCATGTTTTAAATTCAGGGCGTTTTGTTGGGTTGAGTACTTTGCCTGACTGTTTCCATAGAAACGCTCAGGAAGATTGATGCCAATTTGCATTCAAGTTAATCCAGTGTTTTCTCTTGGGAATTGCCATATTGTTTGTGCAATAAAACATCAAAATGCAATCCATGCCTTTTAAAGTTATTAAAAGTAAATTCCAACTTAATGACGGTACGTATTTAATTTTCACTTTCTCCTTTCACCCGAAAACTAAATTAAAAGCATAATACAGTAGATCTCTGTCGGATAATGAATGAGTGCATAAGATTTTTCCTCTTTTCAGCTGTGCAAGATTACTACTGTAAAGAGGAATTGCAGCACAGAATGTTTCTGGACTTGTGACTGTAATACATGACAGTCTGTATGCTCCTTTAGCATCACTTAGTATAGCTCTTGTCTTCTATATTCTGATATTCCTCCAGTAGAAAGGAAGTTTCCGTTGATTATGCAGTTTCCCCACAATTGGAAAGTGTTTGCTTGATTGTTTTAAAGTGGCAGGGACATGTCATTAAAATGAATTTAAATCTTAAGTGTAATAAAATCATAAATGCACCTTTTTTGAATTCACACAATTAGAATTGATGCTGACTTTGAGCATTTTCTAATATACAGTACAACACCAGTTTAAGAACCTCCTTAACTGATTTTCATAATCTTAAAATCAAATATCTCAAATCGGTTTCTCTAGTATGTGTGTAGAAATCTTTAAGTAAATATATTAAGCATTTGTAGTATTGGACCTTTTTCATTAAATGCTAATGAGGTAGGACAGGAGTGAATTTACAAAGCAAGATCTTGTGGAGACCTTTATTCACTATGTGTGGTAATGAGAACTCGGTCTTCTTGCAAACATCCTAATATACTGGGTTGATGGGGCAATTGTCAGCCTTGTTGAAGTTACGGCAACTCATGACTGATGCCTTTTAAGTGTTCCATGTCTCCATTTCTCAAGATGTACTCTGTAAAATCAAACACCATCTCATTAATTTTAGTTTACAAGCTAGAAGTCTTTCCTAGTTTAAACATGGTGTTGGTGATTCCTTATTTTCCATTTACTGTTTTGATACGGCTATGTCAGGGGACAGCCGCGTAATCAGGATCATTTTTTGCACTTCTGTATTTGCAAGGACTTCCCATTCACTCTCATTCTGCTTTTCTCTACTGTTTTGTAATTACTGGGTGTGAAAGTAGCCCCAAACAAGCGGCATTGGGACTTTAAGATGCTAAAGATGCTGCTACTTAACAAAGATTTGCCTTGTGAGGTCCTGTTTTGTTTTTTTCCCAGGCATTATGGTCTGTAATACTGCACATTTGTATTGCACTGGTTCTTTCTCATTCTAAGAAAATAGACGCAAAACCTCATGTCATTTGGTTTATAAAAGTAATTTATGTTACGGTGATTGTACCAAAATCTGTCAGAAGTCCCCTCATTAATTAGTAATACATGTTAAGACTTTTGACTGCTGTGTACAGATTGTGCAAACAATGTTTTCTCTTTGCATAGGAGGAAGAAATGCCAGAAGTTGAAATAGACATTGATGACCTTCTGGATGAACCCAGTGAAGATGAACGGGCCACTAAATTACAAGTGAGTTTAAAAGCAGAGCACACATCTAGACTCCGTCAAGTCAGTTGTACTGTAAATAAGTCAGTATGGGCCATTTTAATGACTGTTACAAAAAAAAAATTCTGAATGGCAAAATACCCTGCATTGAATAATTCTGGAAGTTAAGTAATTGAAATTGTGAGGGAAGCCGCAGTAGTTCTATACTGAGGAGGTACGTCATGATTTAATGAGATGTTTTCAGGCTGATAAATGTGTATCAAACCCTTTCGAAGTTCTTTTTTGGTCTCGAGTAAAGAAATGAAATTTAAAATGATATGCTTATCTTCAGAGGCAATACAACCTAAGGTTTGTGCCATTACATTTCGGGTCCTATAAAAAAATGGGAACCTCACCTGTCAAACCCTTTCAGATTCCTCCAGTTCAATTTGTGGTTCACACATGGACATTAAGAAATTATAAGCTGTTACTTATTAACTATTGCTTTGTGTAAGTAACAGTTATAAGTACTGTATAACATGTAACCACAAGTTTACAAGGGCTTAAACGTTACCACAGTTTGGTGTGAGATTCAGCATTTTGTTTGCCTTTTCAACCAATTATAAAGTACTGTATGTTTGCTTCTTTTACTCTTATTGAGAAGATCAGATTACTTAATTGGCCATATACAATTTCTTGTATTAGGAATTCGTCTGTTTGCATACCCCAACTTGCTTTCCATGAGATACACAGACAGGAAGAGAAGCTTGGGGTCAGAGTGCAGGGTCAGGCATTTATACAGCACCCCTGCAGCAGTTGGGGTTAAGGGCCTTGCTCAGGGGCCCAACGGAGTAGGATTCCTCTGCCGGCCACAGGATTTGAACCGGCAGCCTTCCAGCCACAGGCACAGATCCTTAGCCACAGAGCCACTGCACTGATGTTTTGTGCTGCACGCATTCAGTTTACATGGAGCAAGTTTTCTTTTAATACTGTTATTTTTTTAATCTCTTGAAATGACTTATATTCCAGAATGTATGTACCTTGAATTTAGCCATCAAAGAAAAATGCTTTGACTTTTCACAAGAACATTCAAATCGCTTGGCCTTCAGAAGGAGCATTTTTATGACGGTTTTGAAAATAAACCGCATAAAGTAACTTGTCATTCTTGCAGGCCAAATGAAACATAGTGCTCTTGTCAGAGGTTTTATCAGTCAATACAGTACAGTTTATCTTAGCAGTGATAGTGAAGGTCATCTGTCAGTGATACTGACACTTGAGAGTATTAAATTGTGCTTATCATTGGTTAACTCCCCAATTTCTGAATTGCTGTTTCTGGCCTGCAAGTTTAGACCCTGGAATACGCACTTAATTTCTGGAGCTGGAATGTTAGTCCATAGACGTGTCCCCACCTTTGTTTGCTGCTAAATGATTCCTTGTAAAATGTCTAAATGTATTGAAAATGGAATTATTGCTCTGATGTGCAGCCAAACCTTGTACATCTTATAGAAAGGCCATTTTACTGCTAACAACAAACTCCTTATACTGTTCTGTGGAATGTAGACGGTTGACTCAACCAAATAAAGGCTTAATCAAATATGCATTTGTCCTGTTAGACCTGTTGCTCTGAATGTTTCAACCTTGTGCAATGGAAATATTTTAAAAATAACTCTGGTGAAAGAGTAAATTTGTCCTCAAAGAAAAATATATTTTGGGAATTCACATTCAACTAAGTCATCCTGTTAAAACCCAAACACCTTTGTCACAAGTCATGATCACTTTGGAAAAACTCATTTTGTTTTCTTTGTTTCTTTTAAGGAATCACTGATAGACTGTTATAAACCCACAGAAGTAAGTATTTTTTAATCACTTTTCTCATTTTTGCAAATTGATAAAGGAATTTAATTATCTGAATGTTAAGTACAGAAATGTGCATGTTAAGTACAGAAATGCATGTTTTTCTACACCAAAATCCACCTGCCTGTGCTGAGGTGAGATTGGACTATTGGAAATGCACCGGACTCGAGGGTTATCACATTCACTTAGACAAGTACAGTATTTATTTTAATGATTCTCAGTACCCAGGTCTATTAAGATAAGCCAAAAAAAATAATGGAAGTGGATGATAGCTGTTATAAGATATAGATTCGGCGTTTTCACATTGATTTTATTTTTTGAATTGCCTTTAAATAACCATAACTTTTGTAACTTTTCGTGTCAAGATATCATTCCAAGTATCTTTTTAGTTATTGTAGAATAAGATGAGTTTACATTACATTTGAAATCAAATACCATTATCATTGACTAGTAAGTGAGATGGGCGTTTCAGCACCTGATCATTTGTCTTAGTGCTTTAAAACTGTATTGTGTGAGTCATCCTATTCTTTTTTTTTTAAAGTAAATTCTTTTACATTTAATAACCTGTTTGGTATTATGGGTGGAAGGTTCTGCCCTTTGTAAACTCAGAACAAAGTTATGACAAAGCTATGTTCTTTTTTAAGGAAGATGGAATCTGTTTACTATAAAGCCTATCAGTTTATTGAATCATTAAAGCAGCAAGTGGTGGTACATATGAGTTATTGCTTTCTTGGGAAATTGTCCAAGACCCGTTTTATAGAAGCAATTGGAATATTTAATAGATGATTCCTTTAGTTTGGTTTTTGGTTAAATAATCAGTAACCAATCCATTCCAATCAGCACTATATTATGTACAGGTATACAACGGTTTTACTAAAGAATTAACTCGATTGCTTTCATGTAGTGTCATTCTCATAAATGAAGTTTATATAGTGTAATGAACTGCCATAGTATTGCATAATTTTATTAAAGATCTGCACATATGGCCTTCAGTTTTCATTTAGTACAAAATAAATGTGTTTAAATTGATTTGCTCTGTTATTATTTTGCACTGTGATAACAGCAAATTAACTTTGTAGATTGTGTTACATAGCTTTTATCTTTTGGTGTTTTGTATTGTCAAAAATAAGGGGTGGTGTGTGAAATGAGAGATTCAGCCCGTAAGGCAAAGATACTGTGCGCCCATGCAGGTGGTCTAATTTGACCTAAAACGCATTTAATTTAAAGCAAACAGTTTGCCTTTGATATTATTATGTTGTCTTTTTCCCTTCCTTGTCTGTCTGAGGGTTTCTGAGGGGGGGAAAGAAGGAGTTTGTCTAGTCAATCGGACACCTTTTATGCAACACTTTTAGTGGTTTTCTCTTGCCAGATGCGGCACATTTTATTCAGGTCACTCACTAGCATTGAATCCATGAAAGAGGTAGTCTGTCTGGTCTGACGTGAAAGTCTTAAGAATGGGAAGCTGCCTGATCACACATCTCATGCTTCAGTCAGCCACCATTCTTCTCACACGAACATCTGCAGCAAACAGCTCAACTGAAACCATCTCCTCAATGACCTAATTTATAGTATCTCTTTTCTGTGGAACTATGTGCCATGAGGGAAAGGCTTTTAAATGTCACTTTAGTACATTTATTTTAAGGGAATGTGTTGTACTGTGGTTTTGTTTAGAGGTTTTATACATAAAGGATCATTCACAGGCAAGGGTAAAGCTATTTGTTTTAATGAAGTATTATGGTTTTAATTGTTCTGGAAAGTGTTAAATTCAATTCTGCTGCACCAGATGAAACTGTAGTAGACCTAACTGCTGCTTTGTCGACATTTTGTGATGCTGTGAAATACTCCAATGGTCTGAGTGCTATAGGAATCTTTTATTCATTTAATGTATAAATGTTTTTTATTATAGGCGTTCTTCATCTTTGTTCATTAATTTGTAGATAAGGATTGTTGTAAAGGTGTTTGTCTAAATTATTTTGTTTGCCTTTAGTTGTATTGCATTATCCTGACGTTCCGCATTGAGTTAAGAGCAGCTTGAGATAAATTTGAATAATTAAGATGTACTGTATAGCCGTATTTATTCAGCAGTCTAACTGAGAAGTGAATCTGTATATTACGAACTCGCAGTAATGCAACTGTAATATGTGAGTTTTGTGTCTTGGCTAGATGGCTTTGAAGTTGAACATTATGTTTTCACAATGTTACCGTTTACCCCTTCTAGTCCATATCGTTTCAGATAGTTGGTTGGTTTAAGGATTTCATGTTGCCGTTTTATTGAAAGACGAGATTGGTTGATTTCTTGTTCCCAACTCCTACAGCCCTTTATTTTTCAGAAGTGCCTCTTGTTTTAATTGCACTTTTTCTCCATGCATGTCCCCAATTGGTTTTTCACTGAGTCTAATGGAGTTCTTTTGGCTAATTTTGGCAGTTCCACTGATGACCTGATACTTGAATCAAGTCCTCTAATAGTCTTCTCGGTTTGAGACTAAAAGTTTTTTTTTAGTCTGTCAGAGTAATATGTTCCCTGGTTGTTCTTTTCTAGACGGACTCTAGAAATATATTTTGCACTGTATTGTAAGTGAGGTCTTGCATAGTGCATTGTACAGTTTTGACTTGAATCCTACACTTATCCATATACGTATATGTTAACCTTGTTTTTGCTTTACATTGCTTCCCCACAGTGAGTAGAAGACAAATATGATGGATTAGCACAGACTCAACTCATAAGCACTCTTAAAGCTCATCTGTATTATTAGATCTCAAAACAAAACTAGAAGTGACTGCATATAACATTGTGAATGTGACCGAAGTAGTTTATCCAGGTGGATGCTGCACATTGGTGGTGGTGGAGGGGAGTTCCCATTACCTGTAAAGCGCTTTGAGTGGAGTGTCCAGAAACTCCATATATAAGTGTTAGTTATTATTATTATTATTATCTTGATCAAATATTCTTGAATTCAATCTGAGTTTCTTGGACTTCCCTTTGCAGCTGCCATGGTGTATAGCATCTGAAAACTTTTAGTTTGCTACTGGAATCTAGATCAGTGGTGTGATTTAGAGGGAATATAGGTTCTAATACAGAATCCTAGGATCCTCCACTAATAATCCCAATTTGAGCATGCAGCCCCAATGAATTGACTATCCATTTCAGCAGTTTTCATTCAAAAAATCTGCACATCCTTGAATGCCTACCACCTGCAATTTTAGAATTCCTCACAAAAGATTAAAATTTTATCAAAAAATATTTTCCAACTTTAAGTGGAAATGTACTATATACTGTACTCTACTTTTATGCGTTACTGCTGCTGGGTTTTTAAAAGAGCAAACCATCTGTTCTAGGGTCTTGCTTAAGTATGGCTCAATCTTTTCCCCAAGTAAAACAATTTAAAGTGTATGAAATGCAATGTACTGGCCGTATCAATGTTATTTTTTTCCATGCATTTCATAAGTATTGCTAGTCTTACAAATGAACTTGGTATTTTATTCGGATTAAGAAATAAGGGGAAGCCTCACTGTCAAAGGAGGATGACTGCTTTTACTTTACATAGGTCATGGAAGCTTGAAGGAGTATTTGAGATAAATGTTCCTCTTTTTCTTTAGAAGGTTCAGAGGTTAGCAAAAAGACCCAAACTAATTACTTATACTAATTACAAAACGGTTTAATGGGGGAAAACAAAACAAATTGGTGTCCGTTTTTAAAATTAGCCATGGGTCATTTCCACAGCACAGTTATAAGACGTTAACCGTGCAAAAAAAACGAAACAAATTCTGTTCTCAAAAGATCTGTACCAAGGAAGAGGTTGAGCAGGAATCCTCCATTAACTGGAATGTTGATCACTTGCTAGTCACTTAGTGCTTACCACTTTGGAGACTTGGGAAGAAATGATTAAACACAGAGCAAAGATGAGGAATTCACTGCTCCACTGGGCTCCATGAACTCCACATGCAGTGAACAGGAATCGGTTGAGGCTTACCTAATGGGACACTTTTCTGTAACTATAACAGATGGGCACCTAAAGCAGGATATGGTATGAAAAGGCTATTCTAAGCCACCAAGGACATCATACAGGTAGATGCTGCACGTTGGTGGTGAAGGAGGGGAGCCGCATTACCTGTACAGCACTTTGAGTGTAGTGTCCAGAAAAGCACTATATAAGTGTAAGGAATTGTTTATTACTATTACTCAAGACAAATATGGTGTTTCAGCTCAGAGGCTGAATCTCAAATGAAAAGTTAGGCTACTTGTATTTTATTATGATGGTGGTAGTGTGAGGTCAGGGGAAAGCAGAAGAGTTGTTGCACAATATCCCAGTGCCACGATTGCATTGGCACAAAACACTGTAAATGGGGGACTCAAGAAAGGATACAGTTGCAATCAAGAGAGGTATGCAGACATGCCAGTAAACACGCCGCAGTTAAGCAAATAATTGGCAATTACCCATTGATGAATGAGTCGCCTTCGTTCATATCTTCAAGTGAAGACACAATTCCCATTTCTCTTTGTACTGTAATTGTTTTGCTTCAAGTATGTGTTTTTGGAAGAATTTGGCTCTGCTTAAACTGGATACTTAATAGTCTTCATGCAGAGCTACGACTGAAGATTTTCTACAAAAATAGACCAAAAACAAGTCATTGAATTTTTTGCTTTTGGCATCTTGGTGTTTTTTCCGGATAATGATAATGCACAGCAGTCTTGTCTTCATCCTGTCATAACCAACCTAAAACAGAAGTTGAACATGCATATTGCTTTTGTATGAGAGTCTTCTTAGTTACAAACCATCAATGAGTGATTAGTGTAAAAGTGGTACCTGTGTGTTAATTGGCTGATTTGTGTTTCATCACACTTAACATTTAGGATCTTGTTTAAAACGGGTGAGTTTTTCACAAAATACAGCATTTAAGTAACTGCACATTTCATGTTGGTGTCATAAGCAAGTACTTGGTACTATATTTCAAAATACAGACCAGGAGTATGCTTCAAATTAGTGTTCCGATTCTTTAAACTTAAAATAATTTACTAGGTAACAGACATTGGAACATCATGTTCCTGAATTATGCACTTTCATTGTCTGTCTTTAATTACTTCTCCAGTGGGTATTGTCCTCGAATATTAAATGTTAATTTTCAATTTCTTAGGAATCATTTGGGGAAACAGAAAATGTAGCACTTCTGCTAATAATAATGATAGGACAAAGGAACATTTTATAGCTATAAACTCCGTTTTATGTTAAAACAGAAAAAAATAAAGCCATCTATTGAAATAGCCGTCAGTGTCGTTTTTGCTAGAGGTGCTGCAAGGTCACTGTGTGGGGGGCTCACTTCTGAAGGAGTCTGAGGGCGGATTAGAGAACAGTAATCCTCAAAGGACATAGCTGCTAAGAGTCTGCATCTGTGTCAGAGCTTCATTACCTGCGGACATGCATTGCAGTTGAAATTTATAAAGTAGGTCATGGACTCAAGGTACTCATAATGTCCTGCTACGCCTTTTGTTTCGATTGGTTTTATCATTGTGCTTGTCTTTAGTGATTTGACAGCTGATCTGAAAGTGACTATTTTAATGAGGGTGCGAGTTGATGGGCCATCCTCCTGACCCCAAGCTCCACTGTTTTGCTTAGAGGTGCCTGAGAGTGTTGCTGTTGTTTTTCTTAGTAAGAGAAGCTTTAAAGATCAGCAGAACATTGTTAGATAGGGGAGTCAAAAAAAACAAGCACTCTATAAAAAGGAAGACCGTTTTGCTAACTAGTGTTCATTTATGAAAAGGCAATATACTGTAACTATTGACTGAGCACATACTGTACTGTATACAGACACTGTTGTCCTATACTATGTGTAGTACATGAATTGCTTTCTGGCATAGATGTTTGCATGTAATCAACAAAGCACTTTTATTCCTTTTTCCTGTAAATAGAATGGTTCTTTTAAATTTAATCTGATCATAATTAGTCCCTGCACCAGATTAATATTCTTTTATTTCCTATATACTGTATAGCAAAGACCATGCTTCAGATAGAAGCCTTTTTGGTTAAGGGCTTTTCTCAAGGGTGCAATAGGTCGGACACTGCAACATTGCTATTTGATTGGATTTTTGTTGCCTAGCACTGCTGCTTTTATTCTATCAAGCCATTAATTTCCTGCAAAGGGTGATTTCGGGACTAACACTGCATTCGGTTTCGTCTTTGTGGATCAAGTTTGCCTTTTTTATTGAAAGTGCATTTATAGTTTTTTTTTTCCTATAATTACCTTCTGCATGATTAAAGTTGGTGCTCATTTTTTAAACTGCAATGTGGCTGTACGCAGAGACTGAATTCGGGCAGTGGTGTCATGCACAATGAAACTTACCAAAGCCAAAATACTGTATATATGCCAGTAAGACAAAAGGGCAGGAAATAGACTCCTGATCTGTGGATTGTGAGTTCAATACTCAGGTAGGGACACTGTCACTAACATTGACCAAAATAAACAGATTTCTTCAGTAAAAACCCAGTTTTGCATCTGTATAGTAGGTACCAATATTTGTTTGAAATTGTGGAAGTTGCATTGAATACAGGAATCAGAAAAAATAACAAAAGGGACTAGCGATCTGGTGATGTGTGGATGCACAGGTGGACTGTCCAGCTTTGTGTAGTGCCGTTTTGCCCCACAGAATACACTGGTTTCATGTCCACCTCTGAAGTATGTAAGCATTAGTGAATGAAATGCCACGACTGCTCTTATTCAAAATGAAAACTGATGATGAAGTAATCTGTATGATTTGGGATTACTTTTTCTCTGGGGTGCTTGAACAATTCAGGGGTTGCACATTTTTTTTTTCCCCTCAATGAATTCATTTGGATGATAAAGATGCCTAAAAACCATAGGAAAAGGTTATTTCTTTTCATTCTGAAACTGTTTTTTGTGTGTAAATTCTCTTTGACCCAAGTCAGTCTGTCAGTCAGGGTTATGCATCTCTCATCCAGAACGGATCAATTTACTGTACAAAGGACAATAACCTGATACCTAAGCAGACTTTGCAGTTTTGCAAAGAGAATCTGAAAAGATTTAAATCCAATTCATGAGTAGGTATACACATGGCAAATTTAAATGCAAATAAGTCCTAAATACAAGTGGAAAAAATACTAAACTATAAAAGAAATGCAGAGCTTTGAGGTTGATCATGGGGGGGAAAAACTTTAGGTGTTTGACGGATCGTTTTCATCGATGCAATGTGAAAGAGCAATACAATTTTAGAATACATCTTTAAAAGCCGAGATGTTACATTTGATTTTAAAATTTGCGCAGTGCAAAAATAAGGCTGCATTTTGAATATTGCACCCAGTGTTATGATGCAAAGCAAAAATGTTCCTGCAGTTTTGGAATGTGTCCAAATAAGAGCAACTAAATCTTAGAGGAACGTCCTACTCTGGTGCACCAAAAATTTCAGTTTAAATATTAACAATTATCAAAGACTCTGACAAAGTCAAATCGTGGGACTTCTTCAGAACCAACAATGAAATGCAAAGGAAGTGGGCACTATAGGACAGTACATTTAAAATGGAGAAAAAGAAGACCCCCGATACACAAGTTGTAGGAGTTTGGTTTGTGATCATGCAAGCACTGTAAGATGCAGGAGAAATGGAGAGTTTAATCAGTTTCTCACTGGGTCTTTACAGCCCAGCTCTCTGCCCCGTGCTGCAAAACTGATAACCATGCTGTCGTATAGATGCATCTTGAGCTTTGTTGATACATGAACTGATAACAAAGGGATGACAGGCTGACAGGAGGGGCAACTACTCAAGTTTATTTTCTGCCACACATTTCATGGGTGGGGCTGTGGTGCATGTGGAACCTGTTGCCAGCACCCCCTTCTGTGCAAGATGTCCTTAGGGTTTCTACAATTAGCTCTAGTAGGTGATGAGGTGGATATATGCTTTCATTTTGTTTTTGTTTTTTTTTTCATTTAAAACTTGTGTTGTAGAAAATCTCTCTCTCTCTCTCTGATGCAGGCTAAGGAAGAGCAAAGTTAGGGGGATTAACTGTAAAAAGTACATTTCTGGTTGCTAACGTCTGAAGACTGAATTTTGAGAAATCCATTTATGACATTCAGAGAGATGATAGTGTAAGATTTGATGAATCACTGCACATTATAATAATATGGAGACCAATATAAGGATCAGTTATATTGACACTCTAATGGTAGGTTTTTGTTCTGTGATCAAAGCTCCCATCTTAAATGCATTCAGGCCAGATGAGCATCGGAGGACACATTTGTATGTAATACCTGTTGGTTCAGATACACACAAGTTTGCAGCAAGGTATAATGATGGATTTTGTCAACTTTTTTTCCTTCCCTTTTTAGTACTGTCATCTGCATTCTTTTCCCAATAATAGCTACCAACAGTAATTAGCAGCAGTTTACCAACTCATTTTCTAGCTCAATGCATTTTTTAAAAATTGTTCTCATATGTACAATGCTTCTTGTGTCTTGCAGGAGTTCGTCAAAGAGCTGTTGTCACGGATAAGAGGGATGAGAAAGCTAAGTGCTCCTCAAAAAAAGGGTCTATAATAGTGGCCTGACAATGATCAACAGTGCATCAGCCATAAGCCAGAATCAAAAACGCAAAATGGACTCTTCATTAAGATCCTCAAATGCCTTTTTTGGTTTTGGGGAGCTATTTGTACAAGAAAATGCTATCTAAAGGACATTTTTTAATTTAACTGTGGTGTTTTTGAGGTTTATGATTTAGGTTATGCCAGGAAGTCAAGTCTAGAGCCCATTTGCTTCCCATATCTGTCTTTTTTTAAGTTTGGCAAAGCTGAAACAACAGTGATTGGTATTGCAGTTATAATGCAGTTCGTTTGTGGATTATGGGAGAGAGGACTTGGTACAATTATTTGCTCGATTATTATAAAAACACTTCCACTGTGATCTGTACAGGCAATGTTAAGAGGCTTCTTCCCTATTTTAATAGTAGCACACTTTCTTTTTTAAATAAACACATATTGGCTAATATACTACTAATCATAAGGATTGAAAGCATTTGAGTTATAGGATACTTGCAGAAACTGAGTTTCCCCATTTTGGTCTTTTCAGAGGAGTTTAATTCTTTGCATCATTAATCTTTGCTCTAGATTTGTTTTATTTTGGAAACTACCTAGTTAATCTTTTGATGGTTAACGGAAGCACAAGATTTTCAAACACCTCCTGTCAGCAGGCGTGTGAAGTTTAAAAATCCACAGAATTGTACAAGCCTTACCTTTACATTTCATACAAGGGTGTTCAAGAAGTGCTGAATTAATTTCAATAATACCAGTAAATATTGATGTCTGGCAGTATAACAAAGTTATTTGTGGAGAAAAGCACGTACATTTATGGAGAATATTGCAGATGACTAACAACCGTTGCACGTTCAAACTTGTGGTTGGAAAACATGTGCAGTGTGTTTTAACAGGCTGAACAGTTATGCAGCATAACTGTTCAGCCTGTTGTCATGAGGTGTGTTACAACGGGGATTATAGGCTTTGGAATTGCAAGCACAGGCCAATGGATATTCCTTATTTGTGGCCATCGAAATTAAATTTTCTAAACAATTGACTATGGTATGCTGCCAAAGATGATGCAGGACAAATTAACTATTAAATAAATGGATGGAACCTTCAATTTTGGAAAACATTTGCAGATAAGCAAAAAACTAAGTGAACCCACGATTGCTACCATTTTTTTATGGAACACTGGACGTGTTTTTATTCATACTTCTCTTCCATTTTAAGAAATTTTAAATTTGACATCCTTGGTTTTATTTATTCCTGGATCAGGATGTTATAAAGCAGATTTTTTTTATTATTCCTCAGACAGAATGCCTTTCTAGGACAAAACAAATGGTGCTGATTTAGTTTTATTTTCTTAATACAGTTTTTATTTTCTTTTATTAGACTGTTTTAGAGCTTAAAGGGCTCTAAAATAGTGTCTTGACAGTATTTAAATAAAACTTCCATATTGTTCAGGAAAGTTCATAATCTGTAAGACATCAACTCTAATGGGGCAGACGATGGCAATTTTATTTTTGAAGGATTTCCACACTACTGACATTTTGGATAAAATGTATGGCATTTTGAAATTGCATGTATTCTTAAGTATAGTAAATTGAAAGAAGGATGTGTAACCTGGTTATCTTTTATACCTTGAGTGAATTGAACAGATTTCTACAGGGGAAAATGTTTTTGAAAGTTTGTTCTGTACATCTGCAAGCTTTGGTTTTATTTTTTAATGTATGGTATTTAAGAGTTTTTTTTTTTGCTGACAATAAAGGCAGAAGAACAAACAAAACAGTTTTCAATGTTAAGTTTTCTCAAATACCTTAAAAGCTTTTGGGATAAATGGTACTAAGGTCTTTAGGTTGGATGGTAGTGTTTTCATAACAAACGGGTATTTTAAAGAGGAAACAAAAGGAGGGACTCCAATCTTCACAATTTAATGCAGTTCCTCATTTGGTTATATTATCTCCAGAAGAGAACCTCTAGGTTCAGTGAAGTACAGCATGTCTAAACAAAGGTATACAGTCATTTTAAAAGGTGGGTCTGTACTTGTCTCTCTTGGGGTTTCTTCATCTCTTCTGTGTTCTAACTCTACTGAAAAGACCACTTTGTGGATGAGTTACTAAATGTCCATGGCACCAGTCTTATTAGCTGTTGATCTTATCTTTGTCATCACTTAGGTACTGGTGGCTAAAATTCTTGGACTTGCTTTTCAGACTGTCAATGATCAGCCTTCAGCACGTTAATAATCTGCTATGTCCTCATTTTAGAGACCAACCAGAAAAGATATTTTGTATTCTTTTATCATCCAATTCTGGTCAAAAATAATATTGACGGCTGGCTTTAAGTGTTGGGGGAAACTTCTCAATCTTCTGGTATGCTCCAGGAATCGACTGGACAGAGGTAGAGCACCTTGGAAGTGTAGGGAAGCACTAAGTAGTCTAGTGCAAGGCAGAAGTCAAAATGCCATTTAAGTGGTTTATGCGTCATGTCTTTTAATTAATGAACTGATGTGTCCATGTTAGTACCTGTACCACCAAGCTTTTGATGTAGTTGGATTTGGCGGAGTGAATTTTGTATCATGCCTTCACCCCCATTGAACTTGATTAGATAAAATAATCATGGAACATTCTCCATACTTAATAAGGGGACTGCTGAGGACATCCAAATGAAAATGGATGTCTGGGACGTAGAAGGAAAAGTGGGTCAAGTGCAATTTGTGTCCTGTGAGGTGATGTTTATTGTTCAAATTGATTTAATGTTACTGAGACCAGGTTATAGTCACCAAATCTGCAAGTTTTGGTTTAGCTTCTCATGGCTGAAAAGCTAAAAATACAAAAGAATTTTGAGGTGAGTGCATAATAAACCCGAGTGGATGATTGAATGTTTCCTTTTGAGCTCACAAAGAGAAGATGTTTTTGTATATTTTAGTAAAATATATGATTGTGTATTTTGTAGTATGTTTGCATGATTCCTAATCCAATTTCAGCAGCCTTCAATCAAGCTTTCCATTTTTTCCCCACAGTGGACTATCTTGGCCAATGAATAAAATAAGTGCAGTATAATTAAATTAATAAAAACAATTGCTCATCTACTGTGTATGGTGATTTCATCCCGAAGGACTTTCCACTTGATATATAATAAGTGACCCACTTCACCCATCACTAAGGAGCAGCACCCATCTCCATGACATGTGGCAGGCCCATTATACAGCAGATCAGGCTGAGAAAATGAGAAAGAAAGATCTGTGGAATTAAGGGAGGACAGATTGTGTTGGAGGCTTATAGAGGGGAATTTAGCCAGGGCACTCAGGGACTACCCCTGCTCTTATGAGCTATACCAACATCCCCTCAGTTCAACATCCCTCAATGGAGAGTACCTCCTACATCAGTCTCTGGTGGTCATATTGTAGCATTGGTTTGAGAATTTTGCTTCAGAGGGCCAGCCTTGCTTACTTTTCAGACCTGAAGATCTCATGTTAGAAGGTGGTAATACAGTACTGCTGTTAAATGTGTTGGCAGTAGATTTTTGCCTTTGTAAGCACAAAGTGGCATGAGGTTAGAATTGGGCTTTCCAAGTTTTAAAGAATATTCATGTGGGAAAATCAATACAGTTTTGGTTAGTAGTATCAGGATGTGTATAAAAGTGTATTTGAATGTGTATAAAAGAGAAATCAACACGGAAAACCCACAGGTAATATCCACTGACCTTTTAAATGACCAGATTTTAATATGTTTTGATAACCCATCATTTTCAATTTAGATGATACTTTTTTTTTTAAATGCAACAAATAAAAATAGACCACTCAAATGGCCCAAAGCACTTGACGTGTACAACATCAAACCTGATTTCCAGCATGTTCCCCTTCATATGCCCAGTCAACCAGTACTTAATCTGACCTCTCCTGTGTACATTTGTGTTCTGACAAATTTAGAACAAAAATGCATCTCTGTCTACTCGTTTTTTATTCTGACGTGAACTGCTGGAAAAAAACCAAAAACAAGCCTGAGCTGTAGATCATGCAGCAATGAACAGTCGGCGTTCACATCTACCAGTCTGTTCTGCACGTCGGCACACTTAGGGTGTTGATTTCTTTGGAAAATTCCTTTGGTCTCTTGCAGAATCTGTTATTTTGTTAAATTGTTTTGGTTTGAGAAACCGAGGTATGAGAATGTTTTTTTGCAAATTTGTACAGTTATGTCCGCAGGATAATTGAGTGATACAATAATAGTACTACTGAATGTTTAGTGTTTATAGCCAAAGGAGACATCCACCTTCACAAATAAAACATGTTTTCCTCAAGTCATTTCCCAGTCATTATTTAATTTGAACAATTCAGGGTAATTTTGGTATCCATTTCAAAGGGGAAAAGAGTAAAACTGATATTCCAAGTCCTAGTATAGTTGTTCTGCATATTTTTCTCTAATTTTGTACATTTGTGTTCTCATTGTGGCTTATCAGTTGAAATTCACAGAGAGAGAGGAATTGATAGAACACCCATTATGGAAAGTCATATTGGCTTAGCTCATGTGCTCCAGTAACCCCTGGAGAACAACATTAATATTCACGACTGGACAAATACTTAGCAGATGTTGGATGTAGAGAAGTGCAGGATATTGTAAACAAGGAGCAAAAATAATCTGTAACAAAATGGGAAAAGGAGATGTTGGCATGTCATTTCCTTTTTTTTGCATGGGGAAGCAATAAAAAGGGCAAACAAGATATTAGCATTTGTAATTAAAGATATTTTAAATAAAGAAATGTTAAAATTGCATGATGTACTAGAAGGATTACATTTAGAATATTATACAATTTTTGCCACTATACTATTAAAAAATACTGTTGCTCTGAAATCACTCCAGAAAAGAGCAGATGCAGTCCAGAGCTTAAGGAAATCAAGTTAGTGTGTAGTTATTAGTGGAGTACCCCAAAGATGTGTGTTAGGAACACTGCTTCTTAATTTTGTCAATGATCTACATTCCAGAATAGTTAATACACTTGCAAGTTTGCAGATGACCCTAAAATAGGAGGATTACCAAACACTGTAGAAGCACCAAATGAAATTCAGAAAGATTTAGATGACATTCAAAGCTGGACCAACACTTGACAGGTTGTTGAATGTTGACTGGTGCTGGGTTTTGCATAGAGGTAGTAAAAACTACAAATAAAACTGGGAAACACTGAGGCACTTATGAAGAAGACTGGGGTGACTTATCTCTTAAGTAGGAAAACAATTAAAAGGATTAAATGTACAGAAGCAAACTTAAAGCAAACAATTTAACTCAATTAATGCTAAATTCATGGTTTATGCAGCATCTCTAAATAGTTAGCTTTATTTAAGTTTCATTAAATTAAAATTTGTGAGCATATGAGTTGTCGGTATCTAATATTTGTATGTTTTATCATATTTACCATACGTGTTTATAGGATTCACCCTATATACTGCATATAAAACAAAATCAAGCAGCAAGATCATTTACATGAAAGCAATAAATTCTTATTAGTCTTAGCGTTCTTAGACATTTTTTATATACGATGTTTAAAAAGACTTTATATCAGAAAATAAAAATATCTAACCAAGGCTACAGAACATGCAAAACTGTATTAAATAGCCTAAAGACTGGGACATTACCATGTTTTTCTTAAGTGTTTGTGACCTCATAAATCATAATTTCTACAGTAGTGGCTGTTTGACAAACATTTGCTTACTTTATGTGCACAGCTAACACAAGGGTGTTCTTTCAGTTTTCTGGTATGAATTGCAGGGGGGACACATTACATTTGGAGAAGTCAGTCATACTGTGAATTTGGAATTGCACTCTTCTGTGAGGGTGCAGCCATCGGTACCTTGTTGTTGATGAATACCCAAAAGTCACCATTGTGCCTGCCAAAAGAACAAACGACAATCATATTGTAAATATTAAAAACAGCCTTAATCTTAGAACTGTTTGTAACAACTGCATTTTTTTATTGTAGCATTGATATTACATAATTAAATGTTTTCAGCTACAGTACACTTAAGTTAAATTAAGCCAGTATTATAATTTGTAACCAGGATAACTGTAATTGCAACATCTGGCATGTACTTAATGAAAAGTTTTTTTTTTCCCCCCATATTTTCTCGTGCTATATATAATGGTGTGAGGGAAAGTGTTTTGTGTGTTTATATCCCTCTTTTGTGCTTTTTTGTAATTGAATATATACTGTATGAATATAATTAATCTCTAACTTCCAAAGTACTAGAGAGCAGAAGCATTTAAAAGACCTCCGTTTCTGCTTTGGGTATTTTAAGTCAAACATTTCCACTTATTAGAGCTCATCAGAGTGATACAGCTCTAATTTGACAAGTTAAATGGCTCTTAACAAGACAACCTTTCTGAATAAAGGTGATTTTATGAAGACAAACAAGTCAATAAGAGTCATGGAATATATGAGTGTAAATTACCTATTAATCTTTCACAAAATGAATGACATTGTTTACTTACTTTAATTGAATGTATGCAAAGCTGTATTAGACAACTCTAGACTGAAGAAAGTGAACCATTTTTAGCTAAATTGTTCAAAATATACTGTATATTGTAACAACCGTGGGGTTTCAGTACAGAATGAAGGAGGCACAAGGCTCGGATGTGAGATAGCAGCACCTTTATTAACCCCAACTGAAGAGGATTACACACAAGGACTCTGGGAAGAAAGCACAAATACCTACACAGACACGGAAGGGAAGAGGGCGCCTCACAGCCCCTGTCCCATTATATACAGTCCGGTAACCCAAGTCCCGCCCCTCAGGTGCTGTTCCCAGCCTGCCTTACGTGTTCATGGCTAAAGGGGACAGAGCAGCTGCTAAAGCATACCCGTGGATGCTACAATATTATAGTATCACGATGTGCCAGTGATGCTACTGATTAATTAGGTAGAGAACATTAATGTTCTACAACATTTACACTCATTCGTAATTACTTTTTTAACATACCAACAAAACAAAAAGCTCCACATTCTAGCAGAGAGTCTTTGGCAGACGCCCAGATCACCCCCAGTGATGGACAGGCCACAGCTAGCCTCTCAACTCAAGGAGTGGCAGGCAAAAGTTTCGGGTTAGCAGTGCCTGTGTAGCTACAATATAAATGCCCATTCCAGCCCCAGGAGGTGGTCTGGGTCTTCATGTCTATGATAGGTTACTGCCTAAAACTCAAATGGGTGGAGCTGTGCACAGTTGTTGAGCTGGTGAAGGAAACTAGCTACAGAGTATGCCAGCCTCCACAGGTCCATCTGGTTGTACCCCATCAGGATGGATAGCCCTCTACCAGGGGAGATGGGCATCTTTTCACAACCACTCTTGACTACACCAGCCCAGTCCTCAGGGCATCTGCCAAGAGATCAAGGTCCTCAGGACATGTGTTGATGAAGGTGAGTCTTCCTCCTTTGCTTTTTATCTACCATCAAAACAGTGTGGAGTGTTTGCTTAAGTTGAATGCAAAATTGCAGTTTCCACGTACAGTATGTGGTGTTGCCTATCGTCAGTTCAATAAAGCAGAGGAAATCCTTCTATCTTGTGGTCATCCTGAGTGGTGTCTATCCTTGAGCAAAATTCAATTTCCAGTGAACCCACAGCACTTTAAAGAGCTAAAGTATTGTCAGGCTCTGCATGGTAATTAAATAGCATAAGTAAAGGTTTAGCACTTGATACATCCTTAAACTAGTTCCATTTCCAGGCAAACGTAAAATCCTGTTGTTTTAAAATATCAGGGGACTATGGATCCAGGTTGTAGCCATATGAAAAAACACCAGTGAAACCTGTACAAATGATGAAAGGGCAGATAATAATGGTTTCAATTACCATACACGATTATTTTAGGGATGGAGCAGTGCTTGTAGAATAAACTGATAAGTTTTCCAAAGTGCCACTAAGCTCTGATTGGGCACAAAAGAATCCAGCAAGCTGCATACCAGTCAAGGTATGCGAGAGTATCATAGGCTTGTCATTGTAGCTTCTAATGGTTCTGCATTCCAGAGTTCTCAGTGCAAATATTCATATAACCAATAAATGATAGTGACTTCTCCTACTGTAGTTCTCTCTCAACATCTGAGGTTCTGTTAAGAAAGAAAAACTATATATATAGTAAGCCATTTGCAAAACCTATTATGCAGTTCAAAACAAAAAGTGTCTGTGTACTCTATGTTTTACTAATCTTTGACGTCATTTGTATGGCTCTGTGTAACAGACTGTAAATTCAATTCTAAGGCTGTACAGAACTTTGGAAATCCAAATTATCAAGAGTATGTGACAGAGCATAAATGAACACTTTATGGTCATTTTTATGGTGATGATTTTGACAAGCAGTTAGAATGGAAAAAGATACAACCTGAAAACGTTTGTTGGAATAAGGAAACTGACAAAACCTTGAAACAGTACTTTGGTTTTACTGAAACAAAATTAAATACAGTATGCCAAGAACTTGGCAGAATGTTGCATAGTTAAATAGGTTTTATGTATCCATAACACAAACATGAGGAACGCTAAAAAAGAGGTTAAATTGATTAAAACATTGACATCATCCCACTACTCAACATAAAGCCATTAACATCATATGACTTTTAGGAGAATATATACCATTAAGATAGCAGAAATCTGAACTCATTGCCAGGCCTCAACCATTTATCATGTAAGATAGGCTTGATGTTAGAGCACAAATGAAGCAGAATAAATATACTCCAGGAAAGAATTAAGATTAGATGGACAACATAATGATTATACATCACCCAAGCAAATGAAAGAACGCCTAAAGTGTACGCATCTGCTGTATAACTATAACCGTTATAATGTGCTATGAAGGAGGGACTGGGACCATGGTCCAGGAGGTAGAAAGAACCCAACGGCAGGGCACAGTGGAGCTGAGTTAGGCTCCCCAGTCACCTCCTGCAGGGGTTGAGTACCAGGGGTTGAGATTAGGACAGACAGAGTAGGAAAAGGTGATCATTTTATCCAACCTTAAAACTGGCTGTGATATTTCTTCCTCAGCCATTTGCACACTGTGCAGGTTATCTGTGGTTATCTGTGGCGTAGCCACTGGGACTGTCCTATGCCAACCAACACTGCCTCAGATACACCTTGGACTATGTTGGAAAGGACAATAACCTTCCTGGTCTACATATGCCAGAATGAGGGATTAGTGATGTCATTGTGAATGTAGTTCCAGAGATACTAGTAAAATATTCTGCACATAGTTTTATTTAATATTTATGGAAGCATAAAATTGATAGTAATCAAAATTAATAAAACATGTATGTGTTTTCAGATATAT